GAATAAGCAGAGGGTTTCGGCCAGGATCCTGGGACGTAGGCACAGGTGACCCTGACCCTTGGTGCCAGCCAAGGGCTCCTGGGGATAAGCCAGCCCAAGCCAGAGACATGGGACCCCCTTCCTCGGTGCCAGGAGAGCCTCAACCTGGGAGGACACTGCTCTCAGAGCACAGCGCCTGCCCCTCATTCTCAGCTGCCCCATTCCTCCAGGTGGAACCTTCCATGTGGGGGCAGGTGTCGGCCTGCATGTTGCCGCTGCCCCTAAGAGAACACTGGTTCCCCATCTTCTCTGAAGGTATGTGAGGTGAAGGCCTCCTTCTCTGCCAGACTGAACATTTTCCAGGGACAAATAAAGGGCCTAGCTTTGAGGAGGTTTGGGCCATCCTATATGGTAGCGTCGGGTCTTCGCTGCTCTGCATGGGGCAGGAGGTCGGGACAAGCTTACAAGGTGTTGGAGAAAATACACTCCACTTTCTTGCCTGGGCAAATGTGGCTTCATGGCCGGATTCAACTTTAGAATTCTTGGGCTCCTGGAAGGGTGTGGACTCTGCGGCAGGGGGACGGGCCTCCCCAGCTCCCCGGCTCTGTCCCACTGCAGCCCCACCCCACACTGTGCATCCTCCAGTGCAGATGACCAAGACCTGTCTATGCCCTGCTAACACCAGGAGGAAGAGCCGTTCTCAGGGAAGAGGCTCAGGCTCTGGGTGCCGGGGAAGCATGCCCTGCAGAGCCCTGGGCTCCTAGAGAAGTGGGTTGTGGGCTCCAGGTGGGCACTGCCTATGACCCGTGGGAAAGGCTGCAGCTGGAGGAACGCCGGAGCAGGACTCGCTAGAGCTTGGCGCCTGGGGCAGGACCCCCTGTTTCCCGGGATCCTGTCACAGGGATTGAGAGACGCAGAAAGAACTTTCTGAAACAGGATTTCTGAGTGCCTTGTGCATGTGTCAAGGTCAGCTCTACCCACTATTTCCAATCTTACCAGCTGCACTTCAAAGAGAAGATAAGCACCAGGGTGCATTTGGCTTCTCTTAACCACCACCTCCCCCCTCAACCATTTGCATCAACATGTCATAATGAAAACTATTCTAGGTACAACTATTTCCTTGAGTTTGATGGCTTTCCATGTTACAAAGTCCCATGTCCCTTTCAAGAGACAGCAGGGGATGTGGAGTCGGGGGCTGTTGCACATAAATGATGTAACAGCCATTGCAGCTCATGTTTAGAGTTGGGGGGACAAACCATCTAGAAATATGTTGTCCTCCCTGTATTGTGAGGCCAGTCTTTTGTCACATGAGATAGAATGGTTGAACCAAGGAGAACTAGACTCAGACAGGTGCAAGCCTCTGTGACCCTACTGAGATAAACAGCACTGGGACACCTAAGAGCGGTTAACACAATCGCTATTGAATCAAGAAAATGATTTCAGCCAGAGTCTAAGGAGAAGCCTGCCAGGTGGGGCCTGGTTCTGTGGGAGCTTGTTCTGCGGCACCCCTCACTCTCACCAGGCAGCCAGCCCTTGAATCAGCAACAAAGGCAGAGCAGATACCACAAATGCTTTCATTTTGAGTGTTTTTTTCCTATTTAAGTTGGGGAGGGAAGAGGGAGTGGGGAGTGAAATGTCAGCCGGGTCGTGGTGAACGTGGCAGCTCAGGCAAAGTGGCTGTGCAGGCCTGGCGCAGAGGAGCTGCCACCTGTGTCTGTGCCTCTCTCCGCTGGGACTCAGTGAGATCAGAGCAAGTGGTTGAGAGGTCAGCTGCCATTGGCATCAGAGCATGTGTCACACTAACACCCAAGGCGAGGGAAGAACCAGGAGATTGGGGTGCCCTGCCTCTGCTCTCCAGTTGGAAGGCTGGCTTTTGTTGTTCATACAGAAAAGGTGAGAGGTGCTCGCCCCATGAAACTCATACAGCGATGAAGGGGAGACACCACCTTCAGGGCTGAATCCCACAATGCAATGCAGTCCATTTCCACAAAACCAGGTTATGACTATGGACATTTTAGACAAAACGGACTTAAGACAAAGTCCAAACCAAGACACAGGCTGTCTTCTGGAGGCCACAGCCTCATCCCTGAGAGAAGGCCAGCAACTGCACCTAAACACTAAAGAACAATTTAAAAAGAAAAACCCAGTGTGTGCGAGTCACACCAAGAAGTCAACAGGAAGAAATCAGGTGACAGGGAAGGTTAGAGAAAATTTCTTAAAGGTACACAGGACCGGGTACCGATGCCATGCCAGGCACTGCTCATGGGTGAACAGTTTTCTCATCTCTCTTCACACCAACTTTGGGAAGCAGGCCCCAGTCTGCACATGAGATTAATGAGAAAACTGAGGCTCAGTGAGAGGATGTGAGTTGTCCGAGGATGTGCAGCTGGTAGTGGCAGAATGATGGTTTCAAGTCTGGTCCATCTGACTCTGGGCCTGTGCTGGTGATCACTGCACCAGCTGGGCTCAAGGGAGGGGTGGATTGAGCAGATGGGAAGGTGACAGGGAAGGGATTGTGTGGACCGAGGACTGAGCCATGGAGTAATGGTAGTGAGGATCCATCAGAGAGTGTGGTTTGTGCCAGAGAAGAAGGGCTGAGACTGAGGAGGTGAGGAAAGGCGTGTGGACGCCATCAGTGCCAGATTTTTCATAGTGGCAGCAGTGGGCCAGGTGGTGGGAGAGGGGGGCTGGGCATCGAGGTTGGCATCAAGTTAGAAGGGTTCTGCAGGACTGAAAGTGGCACCTGTGCCGTGAGGCTAGAGTGCATCCTAAGACATGGCACAAGAACGGTCAGCAGGCTTGGGGGTGTCGGGGAAGCAGACCTGGTGGCTGGTGGATGAGAGTATCACACAAATGGGAAAATTGGGGAAAAGATGGGTTAGGCCTGGAAGCCAACTGCTTTGGATTGGATGTGCAGAGTTCAAGGTAGCAGCTGCTTGATTGGGTGCCATATCTTCTGAGCAACTAGAAATGTCACAGTGGAGTCCAGTCATGGGCAGCTGGAGGCATGGAGGGGGGGTCACCACAGAGAGGGGTGCAGGAAGGGTGAGAATCTAGCAGCTAAGTAGCAAGTATTAGATTTCCATGGCCAGTCACAGCGTAAACCTTCACAAAATAAAAGAGACACTTTCTAAAAGACCATCCGAAAAATTTATAGGTTATTCTTTACTCTGGTAATAGTCAGAGTTCAATATTTTGTCACACCAAGTGATGTCACATTGAAAGTCCAAAGCAGGGCTGATTTGTTCTCAAGGGGTGAGGGCCAGTACATTTGTAGAATACAATAGAGCTCAGGCTCTTATCTCATGCTCCAAGTTTTTCTTGAGCCTTTTTTATGGGCAAAGTATTGTTCATTCTTATCTCTTTTTAAAATATTTAATTGTTTGAAATTTTAAGATTCTATGTAATTAATATTGGCTTTAGCCAGTTGGATGGTTGGATGGACGTATACATGTAACCTTGGCCATGCTGATCCCACTGTTGATTGTGAGCACATTTTGATTGGATAACAGGAAAAGTTTAGCTCTGACAGGTGTGGCTCAGAGGGTTGGACATTCTCCCACAAACCAAAAGATCGTAGGTTCGATTCCCGGTCAGGGCACATTCTTGGGTTGTGGGCCAGGTCCCTGATTGGGAGTGTGCAAGAGGCAGCTGATCTCGATATTTCTCTGGCACATCAATGTTTCTCTTCCTCTCTTTCCCCTTCCTTTCCATATTTCTAAAAGTAAATAAAATATCTTTTTAAAAGGAGAAAAAGTTTAGATTTGGAAGAAATACTCAACACACAATACAGTTAAGACTGCACAGTGTAATTTAGTCATAGATGAAAACTGTCTAAAGCGCTGTATTCTATAGGCAAAAAAAAAAAAAATGACCCAGACAATGCTCAATTAATGAAATTCGTTGCTGCTGATATAGTTCTCATTAAAATATCTACATTTGTAAACATGGCATCCAGACATTCTTGGGGTTAAAGGAGTGGACTGAGAATATCCCTCAGTTGTGAGGGAGGCTGAGTCTAGCTCTGCCTACCTTTGTGGGCCCTGTGGAGTTGGGCTGGACCCTGGGCAGCCAATGGCTTTGAGTGATTGGATGGACAGGCCTGCTGGGTTCCAGGGGGTAGACAGCTTTGCTGTGTCCAAAGGCAAGAGGAGGGCTGTGCCCACCAGACAGCAATGAAAGGTTATGACAGGTGAAGGGTGAACAGCAGCTTTGAATCTAGAAATAAGAGGTTTGTCTATATGGGTTGACTATATTAAATCCTTAATGCCTGTCGAAAGAAGTGGACTTAAATCTGAGGGTGTCAGGGACACACGGAACATTTTTGAGTGAAACAATACAGTCAAAACAGTGTGGAAGGAAGGCAGTATGTGGTTTGGTGCCTATTTAGACCAAAATAAAAAGAGGTGCTCACATGAGTGGCCTTTGATGAGAATGGGTCACTTATATGAAGAAGGGGAGTATAATTTGTATAAATTGTCTAGGTTAATATTGTTAGAACTTTCATAGTCAATTTAAATGGAGTTAATGTACAATTTTTGCAAGCTTTCCTGAGTTTGTCTTTGCCATCCTAGAAGGATAGTTGGGGGAACGTGACCTAACTATTTGGGGAATGAGAGTTTGTTTGAGTCAGCACTGGGGGCCATACCATGCTCACAGCTTTAAGTCTGTGGGAATCACAATCGAATACTGAGAGAGAAAATTTAGCACTGCCGGATTTACAGAGGCAGGTACAGTCCTCTAGGTGGAAATGATAGGAAATGGGGAAATTGTGTGGCCGTTGGGGGACAGGATGGGCCATATGGTGGCTGAACCCAGGACTTGCCAGCAGTTTAGGATGGAGCTTGGCTGATGATAATGGCCACATGTTGACACAGTGGAGAAGTCATTGTGTGCCAGTCAGGGGACGGGGGAGCGGGGGGTTCTGTCATGTCGCCAAGGCAAGGCCATGTTCTTCTCAATACCAGAGGCGCTCAGAGCTGAAGAGTGGCCACTCACCCTCTCTATTATCTCCCTTCCAGTTACTTTAGAGCAGTTCTCCCTGGCAGTGAGGCATTGTCGTGACCAAGAGGACCAGGCACTATTAATGAAGGTAGGTTATCACGTGATGTCCTGATTTCCTTAAAGGCTGTAGCATTTTTACTGCCCTGAGGAGAGCTTCATTTTTATAAGCAGGAGTAAATTTATCATCTCTGAATTTTGTGCTCGGCGGGGATAAACTTGTCATCGGCGGGTAGGAGGGTTGCTGGTTAATGAGCATAACCGTGTCCGTGGAGCTCCAAAAAGTGACAGGAGGGTGGGTGTCAGCCACTAGCGGGGAATCTATTAATTCTCCAGAGGGCTCAGTTGGTTCTAGTTAAGCTTCTCTGACAGAGTCTTGATTCTTTCAGCAGATTTATGAGGCTTGGCCAAATTCCATGACTCTCACTGTACTTGTTAATTAAGACAAAGGATTCCATACGTTCAGTGTCTGCCACAGCCTCACTTTTCGTCACCATGGGGAATGCTACACAAATGAGACTGTTCATATTCACCACTGGAAAGGTCATCTTAGGTCACAGATTCCTTGACTCTGAGTGGAAGACAAACTTCTTTTTCTTTTGGTAATAGTGGTTTTATTTCCTCCTGAATGACCAAGAAGCACAGGTGGGGTATAACCTACATTTCGGCTGTATGTACAGGTGAGCCAAAGTGTTGGAAACCTGGCCAGCAACCAACATGCATTTAAGTAAAACTTTGTCTTTGAGGCAGAAAACAGTGCATACCAACAACTCACAAAGGCACACATGTACTTTCCACTCATGGCTAAAACTCCTCTTTGCACCTAGAAACTGCACTTAGACTGACCTGGAGACATATACATTTCTGTGGTCACTTTATTTTCTCTACCCTCAGGAAACCATGTGTACCAGGAATTCCGTTTCTTTACCTAAACATCATGCCAGGTGTCCTCTGACTTTAGAAATGAGTGGAAAAAATAGGGTGTCACTGGAAGGGATTTTCAGCTCATTTGCCTAAGATGTGATATTTCTGGTCTGTCTTTTTTTTTCTTTCTTTCCTTTTTTTTTTTTTCTTGCTTTCAGTGATGTTAATCTTACAATAAAGAAGTGCTGATACCAACTCTGCTGGGTTCATCAGGGAGACCTGGTATAAGACACCCACTTTGAATGCCATAAATTGAGTCACATAAGCTCTTCTTGGTATTTTGAGGGTTTCCACACCTAGCTAGTTCCCCAGGATCTTTTAGGCCAGGTACAGCATTATTTCAGAGCCTCCGAAGCAGCAGTTGAGCCCCGGACGCTCACCCCGTTACTCTGTCAGTATTCGACACAGAGCCTTTGGCGTCTTTCATCCTGTTCTGACCAGCATTGTCTCCTGCCATTTGCCCTTTCTTGCTTCTCTCTTGTTCTTCCCCTGCTGTCTGTCTCCCCCCGCCCCCATTTTCCTGTCTTCACTGTGCTTGTGAGTGCTGAGCGCACTCCTTTGTGCTGCTTGGATGGCCCGTGAGCCCGCATGGAGAGCACATGGGTGTCTCAGGGGCCGTGTTGGGTAGAAAGTGCAGAGTCCAGAGCTGGCGTCAGGGGACCAGACCTTCAGTTTTGTGTCTAACCATCTGGAATGTGCTTGTCTACAGTGACATTCAGTGTTCACGTTCCCTGTGTTGGTTTCTGCAGACTGTGAGACTGTGGCAACCGAGGACAGTGTCTGTGGGTGTTTTCTCAATATTTGCAGATATTTGAGCAGGCATCATCAAAGCAGTTTCACTGAGCCAAAACGTGTGCTTGGTTCACATATACTGAAACTATTTTGTGATTTTTGCTTCAGGAGATCGAGGTTTTTAATGTCATGTATTGGAGAGCGCCAGGTGGGTGTGACAGGAGCGTGCAGGATTTCTGTAGCGGTTACGTGGGAGAATTTGTTCAGGGTGACAGAACACTGGGCTACAGTCGCCTGCAGTTGCTTGTGTGTTTACTCGGGTGAGCTATTCACTTTGCAGGTTATCTGCAGGCGCACTTAAACATTGAACTCAGCCTCACTGGGTGAGAGTGGATACAGGCAAACAATGCTGATCTGGATCGAATATGATGTTTTCAAAAATGGCATTTTGCATGCAAACTTTTACATCCCTACTGTGACAGGGGTAATTGACGCCTGAGGACAGGTTTTCATTCTGACCTGTGAGGGTGCGCTGTATGCGGTCTGCAGAGAAATTGCAAAAGGTGAACACAATTGCAAAAGCTGTGCCTCCTGCTGAGTCGAAGTCAGATACCCCTTGAAAACCAGACTCACCATCTGCGACTTTGCAGGTGGCAGAGTTAGGAGCCTTCATCTGATGACCAGGAAGAGCAGGGAGGGAGAGAAGTGACCACCATTGCACCTTGAGTTAACGGGCAGTGGAGCTGGGACCAGAGTGTCTCTGGACGCTCAGGCTGGCTTCTTCGCGGGACCTCCATCCAGGTAACCATATTCACCCCACTCCCCACCACACCAGAGCCATAGGAGGCCGCAGAACGGTGATGAAACCATAGGTGCACTGTTGGGGCCAGCTCGTGGAGTTCCTCTTGGCTCATGGTCAATGACACGTGGTTGCAGAGATGCCGTGGATAGGAGGGAGCTCGGTTCCCCATGACTCGGTTTACCCATCTCCCAAGTAGAGGTCAAGGCTGTTACCAACTTTGGATTCTCCCACCTGCAGCCCTGTTAAGGGGCTAGGAGAGAAGTGCTGAGGGGCAAGACAGCTGTCGTCAGGGTTTGCCTTCTAGTGAGAGCCCACTACTATTTGAATTGTACAAAAGATTCAGATTTTATAAATTACTTATTTGACCCCATTTACTTTCTGTCTCCACACTTTCCTGTTTCTTCAGTCACTCATAGTTCGATTGTCAGTGAATCTCTTGGGTCCCTTACTGTCACAACCATGCAGAATCCATTTGCCCCTCGGCTCTACCCACCACTCTCTGGTGACTCCATATCTAAGCTTCAGGTCTCACACCCAAGCTCGCTCAGCAGGTCTCAGCCCCTGCTGCTGCCTCTCTCCTCCCTCCTCAGCCTCAGAGCCATGGGACTGCCCCCAGGCCTGGGGCTGCCACGCCAGATCCAGGACATCCACCCATCCTTCACAGAGTCTTTTACAGTCAGCCCTTTTCCTCTGACCCAGAACAGAGCCTCTGGGCTTGACACCCTGGGGTGGCTCCTGATCTTCCTCTGCAGGAACCTGGTGTGGCCTTGGGCAGGTCACTGTTCTCTGTGTTAGCCCAGTCTCCTCTTCTGGTATAAGAGATGCAGTGGATTAGTCCAAAAATCCTTTCAGCACCCGCATCTACACATCAGTGCCTGGACGTCACCAGCAACCCTGCACATACTTGAGAGTGAGCCAACCCGGCCCCCAACTGCTGCCTTTCTCCTTCTCCAGGTTAACGTTCCTGAAGCCCCATGTCGTACATGCCGCTCTCTGCATTATTTTCCAGCCATACCTCCTGTCCTGTGGAATAGGGTGATTGCAGAACTTCTTGTCCAAACCTGGACGCTTTGAAGAGCGAAAGGGAGCATCATTAAAAATAAAGCTTAGATAATGGCCATAAACCAAGACTGTCAGCAGACCAGGCATTTGGTTAGCCTAGTATTGAGTTGAGCCCAAAACCCCTCACTCAGTTAAATGGCTCTGCCTGGTCTACCCGGCTCCCAGTGCTTGGCCCAGATGCTCCCTGCCCCCACTCCCACCAGAACTGTCTCATCTTAAAAACTATAAGAGGGAAATTATCAGGAAGACTGGCCTTTTGGTGTCGGTGCATGATTGAACAGTAATTTTCTAAATCAAATAGAATTGATCAACTTCCTCCTTTAGTTCTCAGGGAGTTTTTCGCACACCTGGCAGCAGCCATGTCCAGCTCGGTAGACAGCAGCCCCAGCAGGGGTGCTTCTGGGAAAGAACTATCCTGAGGCCAACGCCTGCTGGGCTCCCCTGCCTCCCTTAGAAAAGCAAGCAGGAGGTTTGGGTTGAGGAGGTGACCCTTCCTGATGAGGGCTGCTCCCTGGACAGGAGACAAGAGCTAGTTGAAGGAGCTTTGGCTGAACTGTTAAAACTGGAGCAGGACAGAGAAACCAGGGTTGGCCCAGAGCTAGGCTTTCGCCTTCCTCCAATGATGCTGAATGAGTACCCGGAACATTCCCCCCACTGCAGTCCCAGTGTGGCCTGAGGCCTCTGGCTGGAGACTCCACGTGGTAGGACCCGATATTGTAGCCCTTCTACTCTAGAAACAGTAAGAAGAATCGAACTGCCTATGCCAAGGCAAGGAGCACCATCTTGAACCTCTGCCCCCCAACTGCAGGCCTTGGCAAGGCTGTGACTGCTGCAGGGGTGACGGTGTTCCGGCCCGGCCCCTTCTAGTGGAGTACTGGCGCAGGGGCGATTGTCTGGGGTGTGGCTGGAGGACACACGCAGGGCAGTTCCAAAGTCTGCTGTCTGCCTGCTGGCACGTGCAGGGCCCGCCGGAGTGGCAGACAAGGTGGCCGGGTGCCGAGGCCCAGGCGGAGGCGCGCTGCCGATGTTCCCCGGGAGGTCTCCGCTGACGAGCAAGCAGGGCTGAGTGCTGCCACGTGTGACGCTGCCCCAGGCACGGGGTCCTGGGCAGATGGGCACAGCGGGGTGCCGGTCCACGCTCCCCCAGGTCCCTCACCACCAGTCTGGCCAGAATGTGAGCTCTTTCTCTGTCTGATGATGTTCTAGGAAATTGGGCACACTTGAGTCCTTCTTGAAACCAAGAGCCCCCAGTGAACAACAATGTGACACAGCCCCTTGGTCCTCCAAGTTTACAAAGTACAGCTTCTTTCCAGAAGCAGGCATCTTCTCCCAGCCAGATGGAGCCCTTGCCTGTTTGAATGAGGGTTTTCCACAATAAATAAAAGACTTTATCCTTGTATGGGAATGGCTGATTTTGAGGAGAAAGAAAATATCTCACATGACTGCTCCACTGACTCACCACCCCTGAGAAGAATCGCACAGGCTAGTTGTCCAGTGTTTCTTAAACTGTCATTGTCACAAAAGCTTCTCCACTTCACTGCTCCCACAGTCCTGCTCAGCACCCACTCCCT